CTGGGTGTGAGACCTTGGTATACTGACGAGACGTGTGTCTCAACGCCACACATTTGTGTTCTCACTTGGTTTGGAATCCCGTTTGTCAATGATCGAATAACGTGTGACGTCATGCTGTCACATTAGTTGCCTGTACATACCACGGCCCACATAACCACTTCCAGCGGTTGGGTCAATTTGGGGGGTAAACAGTGATAGACGATGGCGCAAAGTGCTATATGTTAAATTATGGTATTTTTATGTATGTACTTACTTCTTATACAGATATTATAACTATGTACTCATCATCACAGATCATCCGGTCGGCACGCTTCATCGAACCGATTGCAACTCGTGTTTAATTTGATTATAACTGCGCTGTACAGTTTGTGTCAGCGATTTGGAATGCGAGAGGAAATCACGTTGACCCCTAACACGCTTCCTTTTTTGGAACGGAAAGTCTGTGATATTCCTGTCTCTGGGCTTTGTTTAACGTATCAACGGAATACACACGACCAATAATAAGTAGTACCTATATGACATCATATACTTTAAATATAATCATTTAAATTAGAATTCTAAATGCAAAATGTAAGGTTTTAGATAAACAAAATACTGAAAATGTGTGAAATCCATCGGAATGTGTATTAACCGAGCTATGCGGATTAAAATATTTCCCGAGCGATATTAATAGAATATAAGTAGGTGTGAGTGTCCGTCTGTCGGTCGTTCGATATATGTGAGACAGCGTGGCACCGCCTCCGACCAGACGGGATCCAAGTTTCGTCGTAATCCAGGATTTGGTAATCGATGTTTGGAAATATTTTGTTTGTGAAAAATTGAAGCGACGTCACCATGAGCTTTGCTGCGTATATACTGTCTCTGTTTACTTTTATCGTACAGATTTCTGATTATTTGAATCGATTTTTTTGTCGAGCAATTGCGACGCTATTTTCGCTATAAGAAAGTATTGGAAGATTTTGCTAAAGTGTATTAGGTATATAATGTTTTGAGCTTTAGTTATAAAATGTGAAGGAATGCTGGCGAAATATTCCAAAGCTGGTAGCAAGTTTCGCTTCTATTTACGGATTGTAGCCGTGCGTTGGCCTTCTGTCGCGTCATTTTCCAAAGATTGAAAGACTTACATACATAGGTAAACTTGGTTGTGCTCTGATTTCAGTACTTCATAATAAGTACCTATTTTATATATATAGTTTTGATTAATAACTTTTTAATATTATGTTGCATTGATAATCATAAAAGTAAAACTAAAGTACATAATATTGTTTCTACTCACGTAATATGCCCGGAAATATGAGAAATTCACTAGATGCCTTGCACTGTGCCAAATATTTTAAAGACGTTACTTAATATTTGTCACCTAAATTAAATCTAGCGACTAAACTCTTAAACATTGCGTAGAAGTAATTTTTAACATTCATATTATATATAGGTACTTTAATATTTGTTGATATTACACATGAAAAAAATAATTAATAGAAAGGTATTACATATATCACAACATTATATACATTATATACATATGTATATATACCAACTGGTATATGTAATGCATACGTGACGTAATCGCTTTATTTACATTATGCCTAAGCAATTAAATAAGTTTAAATTTCTCTTTTATATGTTTAAAAAATACAATCACCACTGTAATATGTAGTGAGGTTTCATTTAAGAGTAATAAACATTCGTGTTACTTTCATTTATTATGTTTTCCAAAACGCCAGTTCGAAGGTGACACGTCGTATTGCATAATGTTTGTAAAATTTGGTTCTTAGTATATTGAAATAGCGTAGCGATTGTGTGTGTGAAAGTCTGTGTGTGTGTGATTAGGGATTCCATGACACGGGTCACCGTTTCCAAGAACGCGACTCGTCTTGACGTCCCGCTGACAGGACTGGTTTTGCCGTTCCACCACGACACGGCAACATTGTAAAATGCAACCATCTCTCTCGCACTTACTGCTTTAATACATCTCTCTCGTTGCAAGATGCGCACACGCACTCGCCCTCTGTCCCCTCGATTCGATAAGCGCTCTGTAAAGTAATGGACCCTTTCGGTAGCTGTACGGTAGGAGTTACGAATTTCCATTGAAGATCTGCCGTATAATTTTAACTACTATAAAATATATAAAACGAAATATTTAAATTATGCTCAATATATACAAACTTGATAGAATCATTTCTATTAGACCTAAAATAATATTAATTAAGTATAGATAAGCAAATATATAGTCATTTACCCTTACTGGATGGACTATAGATAAATAAGACGCAGAGGTCACGCGAACGAAACAATTTCACCAAAATCTAAAAAAATGTGAGCTTTAAGCGGGGATTTTTGATGTCGTCCATCAACTAGATTTAGACCTTTTTAGATTTACGCGGATATTTGACATTTTCCACAAAACTATCTTTTCAGATTTATTTTGATTTTTGGGTCCCGACGTTATGAATGCTTTATAGCAATCACGGTCACGGGAGAGGCTGAGACTCAAAATAAATCCGCGAAAAAATCCGAAAAGATAGTTTTATTCAAAACGAATTTAGAATGTTAAATAGCATTTAGTGTTGAGTTGTTTTTTAAGTTTGAATCATGCTCGAAACTTATAACAAGTAGAGCAACTTGATGGCGCCTGCGCACCACGCCCTCGAGCTCCCGGGCATCCAGTACCGGCTATCATTAATTGCTTCTGCTATTATCTGCACCTAGATAGACCACATACTTGTAGTTCAAGAACGCCCTTTAATTTATCGTTGCAAGAATACACCTCCCGCTTTCTATCGCTGAAATTGCCTGTTTGTTTTAACCTCATGTAATATGTAGTGAGGTTTCATTTAAGAGTAATAAACATTCGTGTTACTTTCATTTATTATGTTTTCCAAAACGCCAGTTCGAAGGTGACACGTCGTATTGCATAATGTTTGTAAAATTTGGTTCTTAGTATATTGAAATAGCGTAGCGATTGTGTGTGTGAAAGTCTGTGTGTGTGTGATTAGGGATTCCATGACACGGGTCACCGTTTCCAAGAACGCGACTCGTCTTGACGTCCCGCTGACAGGACTGGTTTTGCCGTTCCACCACGACACGGCAACATTGTAAAATGCAACCATCTCTCTCGCACTTACTGCTTTAATACATCTCTCTCGTTGCAAGATGCGCACACGCACTCGCCCTCTGTCCCCTCGATTCGATAAGCGCTCTGTAAAGTAATGGACCCTTTCGGTAGCTGTACGGTAGGAGTTACGAATTTCCATTGAAGATCTGCCGTATAATTTTAACTACTATAAAATATATAAAACGAAATATTTAAATTATGCTCAATATATACAAACTTGATAGAATCATTTCTATTAGACCTAAAATAATATTAATTAAGTATAGATAAGCAAATATATAGTCATTTACCCTTACTGGATGGACTATAGATAAATAAGACGCAGAGGTCACGCGAATGAAACAATTTCACCAAAATCTAAAAAAATGTGAGCTTTAAGCGGGGATTTTTGATGTCGTCCACCAACTAGATTTAGACGTTTTTAGATTTACGCGGATATTTGACATTTTCCACAAAACTATCTTTTCAGATTTTTTTGCAGATTTATTTTGATTTTTGGGTCCCGACGTTATGAATGCTTTACAGCAATCACGGTCACGGGAGAGGCTGAGACTCAAAATAAATCCGCGAAAAAATCCGTAAAGATAGTTTTATTCAAAACGAATTTAGAATGTTAAATAGCATTTAGTGTTGAGTTGTTTTTAAGTTTGAATCATGCTCGAAACTTATAACAAGTAGAGCAACTTGATGGCGCCTGCGCACCACGCCCTCGAGCTCCCGGGCATCCAGTACCGGCTATCATTAATTGCTTCTGCTATTATCTGCACCTAGATAGACCACATACTTGTAGTTCAAGAACGCCCTTTAATTTATCGTTGCAAGAATGCACCTCCCGCTTTCTATCGCTGAAATTGCCTGTTTGTTTTAACCTCATAAAAAGGCTCTTACGCTGATGATTTATTCTTCCATTCGACTTAAATGAGTTTCAACCATAGAAATACAGTATGTATTCAATAAGTAATTAATATGATGAATCTTGATGGATTTTCGCTGAATAGTTGATTGAGAGGAAGGTGTGTTTGCCATGAAATAGTTTTGTTATGTGTACAGTTGATTTCCTAACTTACATATATTAGTATTATTAATATTATAAATGTGAAAGTTTGTGAGTATGTATGGATGTTTTTTACTCTTTCACGCCAGAACGTCTGAACGAATCTGGATGAAATTTGGCACAGAGATAAATTGTACTCTGGAATAACACATAGGCTACTTTTTATCCCGTAAAAATTACGGTTCTCGAGGATAGATTTGTTTTTATTTTTCTAGAGGCGAACCCGAGCGAAACGAGGGTGAACCGCTAGTTTATTATAATAATAAATGTAGGCAAGTTAGAAAATCAAATATAAGGTACTAACATGGGTACAAATTGACTCTCCCGTACTCTCGTCATCATTAAACAACTAGTCAAAATTATCCGGCCAAAACTCAAATAATAACGGTGCTGGGTATTTTTATTTTGCTTTAATGATAGTAATAGGAGCAGTTTTAATAGGTTCGCCCCTTGCTTTCGTGGGAAGTAATCATGCTTGAAATATAACCTATGGGAAAAACCTTTTAAAAAGAAACTTTTTTTTTTAATACAACATTGTAGTAAACATAATTTGATTATTTTAAATTAGTGTTTAAGAATTGTATGTATATTGCCAAGTACGTATGAAAGTTTTACTAAGGAATTGAAAGCGAATCGTGAAGTTTTTGTCTTGAGCACTCGCGATGGTCACTTTTATTTTTTTATTGAAGTTATGTAAAACCGTATTGTGCATTTTCATTTGGAAGAAATTGTGTTGCATAAAATCCAAGTAAATGAGATCGGAACGAGTTTACGTCGTATCATTTCAATTGAACGATTCCAAGTATTGACAAGAAATAATCATTGTTTCAGATACACAAAGCCCCAAACATTCGCGGACTGCATTGGCAATGAGCTGCCACTTGGTTGGGAGGAGGCCTACGATCCTCAGATCGGCCCATATTATATCAATCATGTCAATCGTGAGTATCATTTTTATTACATTGTATATTTAACCTTCAAATTATTTGTTTGGTAACGGTTACTGTTTATCATTTCAAATAATTTACGCTATTTCGTACTAAAATTAGATTTTTTGGTAAAATATCTAGTAAGTATATTGAAATCACACTTACTATGAATTTTAGTTTTATAAGTAGGTACTATAGGAACTTTGATAATATCTTGGATAAAATAATATGTTTTAATGAATTACATATCAGATCAAGTAATGCCATTTTAATGGAAATAAACGGAGTGGTATTTAGTATTTTTCGAAATAAGTCATAATAGTCAAGAATGCCAGGAGTTGAAAATTGCGCAAACTGGACACAGTGGACAAGTGACTGTAAACTCAACGCTGACTTTAACCTTGGTAATTATCTTAAACTCAATAGCGAATGAATTATGTTTGATTCGAAGTTGCAATAATATCAATAACTTTGCTGTCAGCACATCGAAAATTGTGCTCGCACTTTTGTATTGCTATTCAGTCAAATGTTGCTAAAATTACAAAACCTCGCAGATCTAAAATTTTCATTAAATGTATTAATTAACTTAACTATTTAGTACCACATAAAAGTACCTTTATTAGGGCTTAAATATAGTAGGTTTAGAATTTAGTTACTTTATTTTCTGTACAAGTCGATTGCAGTATAGCTAACTGCTATAAATATTTGAATTAACGAAAGTAAGTGCGATCGATATATATTAAGGGCGATCGATATTTTAACATTTTTAAAATCGATCAATCAAATATGACTAATGATCTATAGTTTGTACACGTTGTAAATACGAGTAAATTGCACGTTTTCAGCGACCATTAACTGTGCAACAAGAAATATTGTAGCGCTTGCGACGTCTTTTATTTACGACATTTGGATTATTCAGTACCTCTGTTCTTGGGTGAAAAATGTTCAACGCGGGGGGCTCACGAGAGTTCTTTGATGCTTTAGTTAATGTATGAATTATTGAACAGTTTGATTTACGTCCATAATGTTAGAACTTATTACGTATTTGTACTTGGTACTTAGTTTTATAGTGAACTAGCAACTCACCCTCGTGTTGCTCGTGTTCGTTCCTAGTTGCGTTTTAACGTTTAGTATAGATTTCTCAGAGTAAAAAGTATCATATATGTTGACCCGGATAATCAGCTGCCATCATACCAAATTTCATCAAAATGCCTCCTGTGGTTTTTCCGTGATGCGGTAACAGACAGACAGACCGACAAAAATTCTAAAAACTATAGATTCGGCCTCTGTATCGGTAATAATGTCTATTTCAATAAGATTTTCCAAAAAAATATTTATTGTACAGATTCGGCTTAGTTACAATTTTATTATACTCGTATGTATAGATAGACGGTTCTCATACTCCGATATTAATTGGTTAAGATGATAATCTATATACATTTTTAATAAAATATATAACTAGGTATTTATGGAAATAGCAAAAGTTTTGCTAAAATATTTGGTATATGTACAAAGTTAAAAAATGTAAATATTTTGCGAAAGGTAACAGTATGAACTTATATAATATATATATATATATATATATATATATATATATATATGTACATATATACGTATATATAAAATATAAAACAAAAATATATAAAATGCAATCGCAATGTAAAAATATAATTTTACTATTTCAATATTCAATAAAGCTTGACAAAGTGAAACGATAAACATTTACTCTAGTTTCTTACTCATGAGTCTATATAAAACCTTAACATTAATTATGCAAAAACAAAAAAAATAAAACTGGTCTGCATATATCTTGAGTGACAGGTGTTTTGTATGAGTAATAATATTATATTATGTAGAATATGTATATACAACTATAATATCGTTTATATAACAACGCAACATTACCTACTTTCGAATATTCTCTCTATCACTGTCCATATACGAGTATCTCACTTAATTTTTGTTAGCGCTAAAAAAATCGTTTGAAATATTTTGATGATGGGTTGTCAAAAATGAATATTTACAGTTTTCATTTCATAGTGGTGGTATTTTTTTATGGTAGGTTTTAGAGTTAGGGGTTCAATTTTATAAGTACAAACTGGATATCGAGATTTCGTTTGGCTCAGGGTTTTTTTATGGGACCAAGGGGGCAAACAGGCAGGAGGCTCAACTAATAGAAAGTGATCACCGCCGCCCATGGACATCTGCATCACCGCATCTTTTCCGGGATCTTTGCATGAACATTTTTAACTTATTTAAATATTTTACCTACATATGTACATATGCAAAGCTTGCGTTAAAGAGTACATTTTGAAGTTTACTAAACGGTTAAGGGCGCACCGAGGCAGTTACGAAATAATTGCGTTCGTTTGATCCCTTGCTGTATTGTTATTAGTAAAACTTTAATATTCAATTAATATGTACGATATTTATGGGTTTATTCTGGAAATTATACACTTTAGAAACACGCTTACTTATAGTTTCCTCGACAGAAAAAAAATCCAAAATGATCTCTAAAAAACAAAAAACAACCCTTAGTGCGGTGTAAATAATTCAAGGAAGTTAATTAGTTTTTTAATAATAACAAAACTATACGTTTTCTATATCGTATACACTTCACATTTTCAAAATGTAATTGACACATTTATATCAATTTTGGTGCAAGTGGCCCTTAAATAGTAATTAATATCTATTAATCCACAAAAAAACAGTCTAACTCAATTAGACAGATAAGAAAAATCACCTCAAAATCTGTCAAGTAAGTTATTTATGAAGCTTCATTTGTAATTATCGTATAAATCACACTGGACAATGACGCGATAAATACTCGTATAGCAGAGTGACATTTTAATGATGTCCTGTGATCGAAAAAATAAATACGTTGATTCTTATTGTATTCAATTAGGTACTCTAAAGCTAACACAAATCAGTGTAACACCGCCAATGCCTTATAACATACGAGCAACGGCTTGTAGAAGTGTTATAAACGACCTGGGAATAACTATTTATACATAATAGTGGTTGTCCAATGTTCGAAATTCGACAATAATCATTTTTTTATCGATAAAACTAAAGCTCTATTAGGCTCTACCTTAATAGACAATAAAGAAAAAAAAAACTGTTGACAAACAGGAGAAAAAGGTAAAACTGTTTTGTCTTTGCCTATTTATATATAGATACTAATAATACATAATATGATTTGTGCTTATACGTTTATATAAATATTATATTTTAATAAAAATGAAGTCGATAGTTTTATACAAATATTATTAAAAATAATTGAATAGCTATCTTTGTTTACATTTTTTTTATTTACGGATTTCAAGAAATTTGCAATTAGCGGGCTAATAACAAGTATATATATATGTATATTATTTTATAAAATAACTTGATTCCCAAAAAAAACTTTCACCCACATTTTCATCCCCTTAAGGGATGATTTTCGGGATAAAAAGTATTCTATGTCCTTCCCAGGGTCTCAAACTATCTTCTTACCAAATTGCATCTAAATCGTTTCTGTAGATCCAGAGATTACCCCCTATAACTTCATAAACTCACAAACTACCTCTTTATAATATTAGTATAAAAAAAAACATGCTTTATTTCATCCATGTAACCAATAACTATATCAGTGGTTCCTATATAGTAGCTTGAAGCTACCTTTATAATTCTTTGAGCTGAGTTTATAACGGTCACACAGAACATTTCGCACGAAACGCACACGCATTCCTATGCATTATTTATGAGCGCGGGAGCTTTTCCGCCATTTTCTGGATTTTTTTACCGACCACCCAACATAGCTGCGGGGGTTCTTATTAACTTACTAGCGACTCACCCTCGCTTCGCTCGAGTTTGTCTCGTATATATATATATATATATATATATATATATTATATATATATATATATATATATATATATATATATATATATAGAAAATATATAGATATAGAAAAGTAGGTAATTACTTTAAACAAATATCCCTTATTTGAGAAATGATTTATTCCCCCTACGTACTTCGTCCTCCCTTTTGATCCTCTTATGGGATAATTTCTGGGATAATAATCACAAAAATCTGTTTATTTTTTAATATATAACTTGTATGTATATGAATTAAAAAATAAATCTGCCACTTCGTTAAATTATTTTATATTTTTTAAACACTTCCTTAATTATGAAGCAATTTAATTTCTTTATTTTGCTCATCGAGTAACGTATTTAATTATGAACAGATAACGAATATTATCTTAATTTTTTTTAATAAAAAAAAACTTATATTTTGCATTCATTTGTTAATTAACCGTATTCTTTAATTTTAATATATTTACTTATATTTAATGTAAATAAAGTAATCTCTCTTGCAATGTTTATTGTATTTAATTAAAATCACATAACGCATTGAAGTCATATTGACGTTTTTTTGCACGCGCAATTTATAAGCTTTAATTATTGTGACTGTTGAGAGCAAGTTGCTAATGCAAAGTACTTAAAATACCTTAAGTTCTTACTTTTATAATATACTAGCGACTCACCCTCGCTCCGCCCAGCTTTGCCCCTCGGTACGTTTTAAAGTTTAGCATAGATTTCTCAGTGATGAGATATTTTCCCGCAGTAAAAAGTATCCTATATGTTGACTCGGATAACCAGCTCATCATACTAAATTTCATCAAAATCTGTCCAGTGGTTTTCTCACGATGCGTTCCTAGACAGATAGACAGACAGACAAAATTTCTAAAAACTATAGATACAGCGTCTGTATGTACAGATTCGACTCAGTTAAAATTTTATTATATGTATAGACATTTTTTTAATATTATTAATAAAAACAATAATCACTTAGAGCTAGCTTCACGTATTGTATATTAAAAATATGTTTAAACTAAACTAAATGATAGAAATTAAAGAAATAACCTATTGAGAGAATTGTGTTACATTTAATCTTTTAATTTAATTTGAATTTTCATATTATAAATAGGTACTTTTATATAGTAAAGGGGTTGTGTGATGCTTTGA